ACCGTCAGCAGCAAACCGTGCGAGAAGTGGATCTACAATTATGATTTTGGCTACAGGAGCATGAACACAGAGGTAAGTCTGGTTTTGAATCTCCAAAGCTGGGATTATACGGTTCTAATTGTCGTTAATTAAACTTGATTTAGCTGAACTGGGTCTGCGACTCGGCGTACAAGGCACGCATTGGCCAGTCCCTGTTCTTCATTGGCTCCGTGGTGGGCACTCTTTTCTACGGCCTGCTCTCCGATAAGATTGGCCGTGTTCCCGCCCTAATCTTGTCCAATTTCTGCGGCTTTGCCGGGGATTTCTCCACCATATTCACCAAGAGCGTGGCCACTTTCACACTCTGCCGTTTCATTTCCGGCCTGGCAGCCGACACAAACTTCTACTTAATGTACATTATAGGTAAGTAAACCAGCACAAGGGTAAATGAAATGTTTGTGATTATTAGGTCAGCTCGCTATTTGCAACTATTTATTTTTAAGTAATATTTAACAAGTGCCTTTTCTTCAAATGTTAAAAAAAAGTTACTGTTTGGTCTCGAAATTAGCAAATGAATCTAGTAAAAACTGATGAAAGCATATGCAAATTGATCGTGCAAAATGGTTGGTATAACTAAACGAATTTCGAAAATTAATATTGGTAACATTTTTTAAAAATAATTAAAGCCAAAATAAAGTTAGTTTTGTATCTATGAAAAAATCAGTGATTAATTTTAGGTGGTTTTTATCAGTAATATTGCTTGATTTGCCGTTTTTTATTTTAAAGTAATATTTAACAAGTACCTTTTAATTAAATGTTTTAAAGAAGTTGCTATTATTTGCCTTTGAAATTAGCATATTAGCCTAGCGTGAAAGGAAACGCGAATTGATCGTGCACAATGGTTGATTTGCTATATTGGATAAAAACGAATTTGGTAGAATTATTTAATTATTAACGCGTATTTATAAAATATTGATTGAAACTTTAATATGATTTAAAAAATAACAATCAAAATGTATTTATCATAGATGTAAAAGTATATTTATACCCTTGCAGAGGGTATTATAATTTTGGTCAAAAGTGTGCAACGCAGTGAAGGAGACATCTCCGACCCTATAAAGTATATATATTCTTGATCAGGATCACCTCCTGAGTTGATATAGCCATGTCCGTCTGTCCGTCTGTCCGTCTGTCCGTCTGTCCGTCTGTCCGTCTGTCTGTCCGTCTGTCTGTCCGTCTGTCTGTTTCTACGCGAACTAGTCTCTCAGTTTTAAAGATATCGAATTGAAACTTTGCACACACCCTTCTTTCCTTTGCACGCAGTATATAAGTCGGAACGGCCGGGATCGGCCGACTATATCCTATAGCTGCCATATAACTGAACGATCGGAAATGCCATAACTTTGGTGTTTTTAAAGTTAGAAAGTTGGGATTTTCTATGGGTTTTACATTTGGCCAATCAATTTGACGTACCAAATTTTATAAGGATCGGCCGACTATATCCTATAGCTGCCATATAACTGAACGATCGGAAATGCCACAACTTTGGTGTTTGTAAAGTTAGGAAGTTGGGATTTTCTATGGGTTTTACATTTGGCCAATCAATTTGACGTACCAAATTTTAAAAGGATCGGCCGACTATATCCTATAGCTGCCATATAACTGATTAATCGGAAATGCCATAACTTTGGTGTTTGTAAAGTTAGGAAGTTGGGATTTTCTATGGGTTTTATTTTTGGCCAATCAATCCGACCTACCAAACTTCATAAGGATCGGCCGACTATATCCGATAGCTGCCATATAACTGAACGATTGGAAATGCCATAACTTTGGTGTTTTTAAAGTTAGGAAGTTGGGATTTTTTATGAGTATTAAGAATGCATCATATGAATAAATTTGGGGAATATATTTTACAGAGTATTCTGCAAGGGTATATCAACTTCGGCTCCGCCCGAAGTTAGCTTTCCTTTCTTGTTTTGATTAATTTCAAAGGGGGTATATCAGTAATATGACTTGATTTTATTTAACGATTATGTTTCTCCCGAACAGTGCTCGAATATATTCGCCCCAGCATGAGAACCCTGGGACTCAACATGGCAGTGGGGCTGTTCTACTGCATGGGCCTGGTGTTCACTCCTTGGCTGGCAGTCCTGGTGGGACACTGGCAGATCTACCTGGCCTGCACCTCGCTGCCCATCCTGCTGGTGGTGCTGTATTATTTTGTGGTGCAGGAGAGCGCCCAGTGGCTGGTCACGAGGAATGACATCGACGGGGCCATCGTGAGGCTGAAGCGGGTGGCCAAGTTCAATGGCTGCCGGGTCACCCAAGCGGACTTCGACGAGTTCCGACGCCACTGCCAGATGACCCGCGAAATGCAGGGCGGCGATGACAAGAAACAGGCCACGCTGCTGGACATGTTCAAAACGCCACGCATGCGCAAGAACACTCTCATTTTGTTCTTTAAGAGGTGAGTTTGTTAATTGTTTACCTATTTATTTAAGGCGAAAAATACTCAATAATGATTATAGATACATGAATTTAAGAAACATTAAATTATTCAAAGTTATGTTGTGTCTTGGAAAAACTCTTACTTTGATTGATTTCAATCTAGTTTATTTAGATTTATTTTATTTTTTTCGTTAGTCATATTTATATATATTTGTTTGTACTTCTATAATTGTGATTAATAGTTAATAATCTTATTTTTGTTACTTTTCTTAACCACAGCATGGTCATCACCCTGTGCTACGATGCCGTCTCCCGAAACGTGGAGGGCATGGGCATCTCCCCCTTCATCATGTTCTCCCTGAGTGCCTTGGCAGTGCTGCCCTCGAGTATCCTGCTGGTCCTGCTGCAGGACCGCATTGGTCGCAAGGGCATGGCCTCGGGATCCTTGCTGGTTGGTGGACTCTTCACAGCCGCCGCCGGAATCGCAATTGCATACCAGCAGCACAGCCAGAATGCCATTTTGCTGGCCTGTCTGACGATTGCCGCCCGTTTCGGCGTGGCCATCTCCTACGAGTCGGGATCTCAGTACGCCACCGAGCTAATCCCCACCTGCGTGAGGGGTCAGGGAGTGGCTGCCGTCCATGTGGCCGGATTCGCGGCCTCCTTCCTGGCGCCCTACATCCTCTGGCTGGGCACCTTCTTCAAGGCGGCGCCCTCGATCATCCTGGGCGTCCTGTTCTTCGCCGGCTCATTTGTATGCCTACTGCTGCCAGAGACGCTAAACAGGTTAGTAAATATAGAGGATAATTTGTTACAGATTACATATCCTTAAAAATAAGTGAAAATGGACATAGATGGTCCTTAGTTATACTTCTTACAAGCCTGTCTAAGTAGGAATAAAAGCAAAGTAATTTAATGGATTATTAAAACCTATTCCCAAATTGAATTAAGATTGATTAGAATTGATTGATGATTGTGAAATCTATAATTATATTTTTCATGTCCATATTTGATCATTAATCAAGATTATTAGCTTAGTGTAAAATCTGCTTTCTTAAATATACTTTCTAATCAGCAGATATTTGTCATTAATTTCACGATATCTAAAATACAAAAGATTTAGTTAAAGTTTTCATATGAGTTGAGGCAAATGAATACTTTATTGTTTTGTCATAGTTTTTGTTGACATTTTGGTTCAATGCTCTCTGGTAATTAGATGATAAAGTCATTTCGTCATAAGAATAATAAAACGTTCATTGACTTTCGAGCAGGGTAGTTTCAATTATACAAATATTTATTTTCCTTTTTCTGTAAAGTGAATGCTACAAGGCTGGGAAGAAGTTACATGGAAAGATCGAATTGACATGCAATTTTTATATGATATTAACATAATTTAACTATCGATTTTGCCTAATTTATTAATATTCTGTCTTATCTTGCAGGAGCCTGCCCACGACCATCGAGGAGGGCGAGGTGTTTGGAAAGGGCGAGCGCATGTTCGACTTCCCGTGCCTGCACAACAAGCACGATGACGAGGAATCCGACTCCGAGATGGAGAAGTACAAGCGCAAGCACTCGCTGATCGACGCCAAGCAGATGCAGATGGAGTCCTTTTCGAATGGAAAGCGCAAGCCGTCCTTGATCGACGCCGATCGCGAGGAACAGGCTCTGAAGGACGCCAAGCACTGAGGGGCGATTTCCCGCCCTCAGTAGTTCGTAGTTTAGCTAACCAATTTTCGCCTAGACCTTAAGACCCCCCGGCTCCTGATCCAGATCCAAATCCAGACTTAGATCCCGATCCAGGCCACAGACCAACTAGATTCGATGGCCATTAGGATGCCTACAAAATGTGTGCTCAGTATGCGGAAGCCTTTTCTTATTTGTATAGCGTGTACCCTTTTAAATTTATATATATTTGTATACCTACTCTAGCTGGTAATGAACTAGGGCGTAGCTGTACATTTAACTTGATCGAAAATTACTTTTTTTCCAAAACGTTGATTGTGTATAAGAACGGAAACGTATAGTTAACACTTAAGCGGCACAAAATCACTTAACTGAAACCAATTGAATACTTATTGTAAGAGTTTTTCATAACCACGTGTACATAAGTGCGAAACTACTTAGGCCAGTAACTGAAAGTTCTATTTTGGATTTTGATCTTTAAGCAAATGAGAACCATTAAGCAAACTGATAATAATTATTTAAAGTTAGAAAACAAAATATGAAATATACAAATCAAAATCAATTTTATTCTAACCTTGTTAACTTCTTTTCTGGCGGCTGCTTTTATCGAAATATATTCAAATAATTATATACTGCCTTGTTCTTTGAATCGACAAATATTATATATATTATATCAATAAACTTGTAGTATTTTCAAAAAGTTTTAGGAATGTTAAGTATTATAAGTTTTTAATTGATAACATATATTCGGACTCTAATGACAGGCGTACACATTTTTTTTAAAATGATGTGACTGAAATAATATTTAAACAAGTTAAATCCTCCATTTAACGAGTGTTTTTGGAATCACTTTAGTTCTGAAGGAAAGATTTAAACAAAAGGAACAATTGTAGTTTTTCATACATCAATTTATTGTGAAAGAAAATAAGTACATCATATATTTATACCAGTTCTGTTTTGGATATATAGGGTAAGATAAATGTGTTCTACACAACGGTTTTGGTTTAATTACTATGCATCCTTCACATGAGTAATAACTATCAGACCATTCGGTTACAGGAGTCAACTTATCGTTGGCTCCATCATCAGGTTAAGTGGCTAGGCCAGTAGGCTAAAAAGTATTCAGTTTTCAGGTGCACAACTCTCTAGGGTTCAGACTTAAGGTCCTCATGCTTGGTCAGACTTTCGCGGCGTTTGTGGAAGCATGGGAAGTAGAGGCAGCTCTCGTTCATGGCAAAGCGTTCGCCATCGGCCAGGGTTTCGGGCAGTTTCCTAAATTTAATATGCAATTAAGTAACTTGACAAAGGACTATAAAAACATGTAACTTACTTGTGCAGAGTTTCTGGAAGAGTTAGGCACAGAAGAGCGCCCAGGAACATCAGAATACTGATGAAGATTGAGGGCAGTGGCTTGTAGTACTGGGCCAAGTATATCACATAGAAGGCCAGCGAGCTGGAGGCCAGTCCCACCACATGGATGTTGGACACCGCCTGACCCCGCACACTGGTGGGAATGATCTCAGCCGCATATTGGATCTCCGCATCGTAGGAGACAGTGGTGCCAAAGCGGCCCAGACCCACCATCAAGGCCAGCAGGATGGCATTCTCCTTGGGATCCAGGACGGCGATTAGGAATCCCGTGGCGGCGGTAATAATGGCACCCACTATCAGGGCTCCACAGGCCATGCCTTTGCGACCGATCTTGTTCTGCAGCAGAAGAATGAGGAATCCCGCTGGTAGATAAACACTGGAGGTCAGTGAGAACAGCATAAAGGGCGAGGAGCCCAAGCCTTCCATGTTCCTGTTGATCACATCGTAGGAGAGTGTGATGATGACCCTGAGAAAAACCAAAGGCTTAGTTAGTCCTTTTCCTTCTTAAATAAAAACCTACAAATGGACTTACGATTTAACCAGAAGAGTGGTGGTAAAGCGACGAAGTCTGGGAGTCTTAAACATCCCCAGGAAAGTGTCCATCTGCTTGTTCAACTTGCTCTCCTCGTTCATCTTCTCGCGATAGTGCTTTACGAACTCGTCGAACACGGAGTCCTCCACCTGGCGGCCATTGAACTTGGCCACTCGTTTCAGGCAGGCCACCGCCTCATCGTACTTCTTCTTGGTCAGCAGCCACTGGGCACTTTCGCAGATCAGCAGCGGATAGATGAGCACTCCCAGAGCTGGCAGAGATGCGAGCCAGAGGTAGCGGCGCCAGTTGCCAATCCACATGGCTATCCAGGGCGAGGTCATCAGTCCAAAGCAGTAGAATACAGCCAGGATGATGTTGAGGCCGAAGGTTCGGCGCTTGGGACTCAAGTACTCGAAGACTTTGGTAAAGAGATTAAACTAATAAGCATTTTGAACTATAATAGCTGTACTAATAACTTACCCAAGATGTACATAAGATAGTACATGGTATCCGTGGATAATCCCGACACGAATCTTGAGAAGGCAAACCAGGGCAGGGTGTGCACGAAGGAGGTGATGAAGTCACCAGTCGCTCCAGATATACTCGCCATCAGCATAGCGGGCAGTCTGCCAATGCGATCTGATAGGGATCCGAAAGTAATGGTTCCCACCACCGAGCCCAGGAAGAAGAAGGACTGACCCACCGCCGGCTGGTGCGACTTGTCGCAGACCCACTTTAGCTCCGTGGTCAGGCTCTCGTAGCCGTTCTCCCGCTCGAAGATCCAGTCCTGGCAGGTTGCCATTTCCGAGGCCACGCCGGTCCCATTGACCACCTCCGAGAGAAGGGTGCAGGAGGAGTGCGTTACATTGGAATAAACGGAGCGCAGTTCCGCAGCACTCAGCCCCATCAAGTCGTCATGGGAACACCTAAAATCAGACAAACCGGATTATATTTAAATATATTTATATATTTACATATATTTTAATATTTAAAATTGTTTAATTATTTTAGTTATGGTCGTTATTTATTGTTACGTTGTTTAACGACTCAATCATATCTGTCTCCAAAAATATATTTCTTTTACATTAATAGATGATAATTTTATTCACCGATAAACATTTGGGTTCCTATATTTAAATACACGGTACATTACAAAAAAATTATATTCTTAAAAATATAACAGAATTATATATTTAGAGATTTACATCATTTGGTCTACTAGCAAGTTCATTTTGTTTTATTAAAAATTTATTTGTGAACTTGTCCGTACTTCAACACATTTACTTACCAATGCTCAGGTGTAAAAGTAATGAGAGTCTGTGAGAAATAGTGCAACGAGCTAAGAATATTTGTGTAGCCATAGAGAATGAGTAAGACAAACTGAAACCGGCCGAAGTTCCCACACTTCTCAAGCACGCGATCGAAATCCATTCTGATCTCGAAGGAACTTCACTTGGGCGATATAATCCCCGATTCTGACTGAAACACTTTGTTTTTGTGAGGACGAGCTGAGTCTTTCAGGCGAAGAGTCAACTACATTCTGCCTGTGCGCGGAGTATTTTGACGCTTGGCGTGAATCGCCCACTGCCTTATATAGTATAATGATATAGGCGTTGTCCCTGATTAGGACGGGTAATTAGTAACAGAGATTGGGCTAGGCAATCTTTCCCGCTTCTTTTGGGGTGTGTGCCGATGATAAAAGGCTGAGATCAAGCAAACATTCTGTCGAAAATGTGAACGACCACTTTACACAGGTGCTGTTTACTTGCCTCGCATAAAATAAAAATTTACGAAAAAACAACTCAGCATCAACAAACTCTAGAAAAGGTTATGTTTTGAACTTAGTAGGTGATGACCTTGATTCTTAGATACCTTTGATACTATGAATTTGATTAAATGCGTCTTTCTCCGCTTATCAGGCATTTAACTTGGTCAAGTGACGGACTTTCTCAAAAATTTCGGCTGTTGCCGCTTGTTGACTTTGCCTTAGATTTATAACAGATTTAGCCACTGCCGTGCTGTAAGTCACGCCTGAAATGGAATCTGTTTAAGGAGGGATTAACCGTATACGCGGTTTCATTGTTTGTCGCCTGACACTTTAATGGGTTCCCGTTTAGAGATATAGATTATATATAGTATAGATTACAGGTCTGCCCCTCGCAGGCGCCAAACGAAGCCTCTCAAAAATGCAATAATATCTCGCCTATCTCGGCGGGTACTAAAAGTTCCGGAACCTTTGGCGTGGTCCATATAACACACGCCCTAGACAGGCGCTACTGAAGTTTGAACAAGCCAATTGAGGGTCCGTAAGTGGGCACTGAATGGGTGTCTGAGCCGGGGATTAAAAAGATCTTAATTCTAGAAATGCGATCAGTTTATGATGAAATCGGGTACGAAGCGCGTAATTATGGCCCTAATAGCGTAATTTTTACAGCCGACCATTAAAATTAAGAGACCAGTAAACATGTTTTGGTATTATTCTGTATTCATTTGTATTATCTTTTATTATATATTGCGTACATTTATTATAACTACATGGTAATTTAGTTGGCTGACTCTAGCTGAGATGCGGATTCATTCGATGGAACTCTGTGGGAAAAGCAGGGAAAGAAATACCATTTCTCGCCCTTGGCAAAAATTTCACCTTCCTCCAGAGTCTGTGGGAGTTGCCTGTTGGATAAAAAAAATACATATATTTCCGGGATCAAGAAAATTATTACGAAGAACTCACTTGTGCAAAGTCTCGGGAAGAGTCAGGCACAAACAACCGCCGATAATGAGCAGGAAACTTATCAGAAGAGATGGCAGCGGCTTGTAGAATGTGCCCAGGTAGATTATGTAGGAGCTGAAGAAGGCGAAGGCGTTGCCCACCACATGGATGTTGGCCACCCCTCGTCCTCGCACACTGGTGGGAATGATCTCCGCCGCGTACTGGGCCTCGGCATCGTAGGCCACCACCGCTCCGTACCTGGCCAAGCACACCATGATGCCCAGGAGTACGGAGTAGTTCGCAGGATCAAGGATGCCCACCATGTATCCTGTGGCCGCAGTGATGATGGCACCCACAAAGAGCGAGGCGCAGGCCATGCCCTTTCGCCCGATTTTATTCTGGAACAGGATAATGGTGAGGCCACCGGGCAGGACAACGAATCCAGAGTAGGAGAAGAGCTTGAAGGGTGATATGCCCACACCCTCGACGTTTCGACTCAGGATGTCGAATGCAATTGTGATGATCATTCTGGAAAGAGTGGAGAGGATTTAATAAATTAAAATGTATTTATTTCTCATTTTAACTTACGATTTAATCAACAGAATAATGGTAAACTTTCTCAGTCTTGGCGTCCTCAGCATGCCCATAAAGGTGTCTGAGGATGTCTTTTGCGAACTGTTCAACTTCTCGCGATAGTGTTTTATGAACTCATCGAAAACAGAGTCCTCAACTTTCCGCCCATTGAACTTGGCGATGCTCCGTAGATTGCTGACTGCCTTGTCGAATTTTCCCTTGGTCAGCAGCCACTCCACGCTTTCGTGAAGGCAAAATGGATAAACCAACATTCCCAGGGCTGGAAGAGAAGCCGCCCATAGGTAACTGCGCCAGTTGCCCAACCAAATGGCGATCCAAGGCGAGATCATGAGACCAATAGTGTAGAAAACGCCCAAAATGATGTTGAGGCCAAAGGTACGGTGCTGCGGGCTCAAGTACTCGAAGACTGAAAGAAAATGCATTATTATATACTCTTGCTGGGTGAAGGATCAGTTAACATACCCAAAATATACATGAGGACATACTGGGTGTCCATAGAGAGACCGGAAATAAAGCGCGTGAAGGAGAACCAAGGCAGACTGCTCACGAATGAAGTGAAGAAGTCCCCGGAGGCTCCTGTCAAAGTGGTCAAAACGCAGGCAGGCAGACGTCCTATGCGATCGGCCAAATACCCGAAGAAAATACTGCCCAGGGCGGATCCGATGAAGAAGAAGGACTGGCCCACCGCCAGTTTGTAGGCATCGTCGCAGACCCACTTCAGCTGTGCCCAATATTTCGAACGGAAGTGTTTAGTCACAAAATTCGCTTTCTACTTTTGGGCTGAGAAAACTTACCTCGGTGGTAACGCTCTCGTAGTTGCTTTCCCTTTCGAAATCCCAGGAGGTGCACTTGGAATCTCGATGTGAAGTCAGGTCAGCATCGTACTGAATAACATTGCAGGTCTGCAGTAGGGTTAAATTCTGCGAGTATTCCGCGGGTGCAGAACATCTAGAATAGAAGAAATGTCATAAAATATATAATGCGAATTGTTCTGTATTTAATATTCTTTTCAAATTTGCCTAACAATTACTCAATAGTTTTAATCCTGATTGTAAATAACAATACCTTTAAAAATTAATTCAATAAGTACTTGAGTAATTAACAGCTTATTTCATTAATATCCATTACCATAATGGATGGGATATTTTCGCTTACCTGTGCGATGGAGTAAAACTAATGAGGGTCTGCGAGAAATAGTGCAGCGAGGACACTATATTAGTATATCCATAAAGACCCAGCAACAGGATTTGATAGGGGCCAAAGTTGCCACACTTCTCCAGAACACGTTGAAGATCCATTTCGCCACATGAATCTGCTCCGATCGCAATCCAGCAACTGATGCCAACGAAGGCGCCGAGCAGCTGGTATATACTCGATTCTTGGGGCCGACTATATCATGTTAATACACTGCAAACATAGAATATCTCCTGTTAGTTTTATCTCACACTGGGCAGAGGAAGAAGAAACCATTTCCGAGTTCTGGCTTCTGTTTGGTTTGCAGAGAGATTCGCCAGGTCCCATGGGCTGTTTATTAATGTGACGCCCGCACAGCATAAATAAACCCTGTCTTATCATAATGGGGGATTTTATGGAACTGTCTGGCAAATAGAAAAAGGTAAATCTTTCCAAACAATGGCGCGTTCGTTTTACAAAGACATTTTGTGTTCTAGGCATGCAATTAGAATTTTAAATACTATTAAAGCGAGATACATATTTCACCATTACTTGCTTATTATACGGATAATCAATTGATGAACATTTTTGAAAATGTTTCTGCACGACGTTTTAAGAACATGGAAAAATGTACTACCTAATTTCACATATATTTCTTTACACAACATTTAGGCAGACTGAACTTCTATGTAATAACTCTTAAAAACTATATTAAAATATTTGGAAAAAAGTTGCACTTGGTCATGTTGTTAAAAAATTAAAAAAAATGACTTTAAGGTTAAAAAAGAATCACATGGTGACAAATGGTAGACTTTTATTATGTAAACAAAAATTACAATTTGTTTGCAAAGTCTGTACACTTTTTGTATTTATTTAGTTAAGGTTCCAAAACCAATGGCGTGATCTATATAAATCATTCGCTAGAAAGGTGTTACTTAAGTTCTAACAAGACCGTGAGTAGAATGGATGTCTGAGAATGAGATTAAGCGGACCTCACTTCTAGAAACGCGATCACTATATGATGAAATCGGGTACTTTTAGTATTAGCCGAAACCATAAAACCAGTAATTAAAGTCTTAAAAGCGTCTGTCTACTGCCGCCCATAAAAATTAAGAAACCAGTAAACATGTTTCGGTTTAATTTTCGTTCATTTGAACAAAGCTAACACGTTTATTAAATATTTTATACATTTATTATAACTACTTTGTATTTTCATTGCCAAACTCCAAGTGAGGATCAGATTTATTCGACTGCATTCTGCGCGAAAAGCACGGAAAGAAATACCATTTCTCGCCCTTGGCAAATATCTCGCCCTCCTCCAGAGTCTGTGGGAGTTGTCTGCGGGATAAAATTGGTTTACAAAGGAATCTATGCAATATTAACTAACGAATACTCACTTGTGCAAAGTCTCTGGAAGAGTAAGGCACAAACAAGCCCCGATTAGCAAAACGAAGCTGATCAATAGAGATGGCAGCGGCTTGTAGAAAGTCCCTAAGTAGATGACGTAGGGGCTGAAGAAGGCGAAGGCGTTGCCCACCACATGGATGTTGGCCACGCCTCGTCCTCGCACACTGGTGGGAATGATCTCCGCCGCGTACTGGGCCTCGGCATCGTAGGCCACCACCGCTCCGAATCTTGCCAGGCTCACCATGATCCCCAGGAGAACCGAGTGTTCCTCGGGATATAGAGTGGCCACCAGATAGCCAGTGGTCGCCGTGATGACGGCACCCACAAAGAGCGAGGCACAGGCCATGCCCTTTCGCCCGATTTTGTTCTGGAACAGGATAATCATGAGGCCAGCGGGCAGGTAGCAGAAACCCGAGTAGGAGAAGAGCTTAAAGGGGGATATGCCCACGCCTTCTACATTGCGACTCAGGGTGTCGAAGGCGATAGTAATGATCATTCTGAGGGATGAGAAAAAGAATTAAGAAACTAAAAAGTATATATTTGTAAACAGACTTACGATTTTATTAACAAAATAATGGTAAACTTCCTCAGTCTTGGTGTCCTCAACATGCCCATAAAGGTGTCTGATGATTTCTTTTGCGAACTGTACAACTTTTCACGATAGTGTTTGACAAACTCATCGAAAACGGAGTCCTCCACCTTTCGCCCATTAAACTTGGCAATGCTCCGCAGATTGTTGACTGCCTTGTCGAACTTTCCCTTGGTCAGCAGCCACTCGGCGCTTTCGTGTAGACACATCGGATAAATGAGCATTCCTAGGGCTGGAAGGGATGCCGCCCATAGGTAACTTCGCCAGTTGCCCAACCAAATGGCGATCCAAGGCGAGATCATCAGGCCAAAGCAGTAGAATACGCCCAAGATAATATTTAGCCCGAAAGTGCGATGTTGTGGACTCAAGTACTCGAAAACTGCGAAGATTAATGTCTTTACTTGCTCTTAAAAAGTGTAGGTCCATTTATCTTACCCAAAATATACATGAGGACATACTGGGTGTCCATAGAGAGACCGGAAATAAAGCGCGTGAAGGAGAACCAAGGCAGACTGCTCACGAATGAAGTGAAGAAGTCCCCGGAGGCTCCTGTCAAAGTGGTCAAAACGCAGGCAGGCAGACGTCCTATGCGATCGGCCAAATACCCGAAGAAAATACTGCCCAGGGCGGATCCGATGAAGAAGAAGGACTGGCCCACCGCCAGTTTGTAGGCATCGTCGCAGACCCACTTCAGCTGTGCCCAATATTTCGAACGGAAGTGTTTAGTCACAAAATGCGCTTTCTACTTTTGGGCTGAGGAAACTTACCTCGGTGGTAACGCTCTCGTAGTTGCTTTCCCTTTCGAAAACCCAGGAGGTGCACTTGGAATCTCGATGTGAAGTCAGGTCAGCATCGTACTGAATAACATTGCAGGTCTGCAGTAGGGTTAAATTCTGCGAGTAGTCCGCGGGTGGAGAACAGCTAAAATATAAAACATTTAATAGGGATAAATTACAAGAAAATGATTTTGTTTGTTAAATTGGAATTTTTTTAGATTTCCAAATTTCTTTGATTTATATTATTACAAGTATTTTGTTTTGTATTTTACATTTAGTATGAAGTGTTTCTTTTTATTTGTAGAGTCACTAAAGAGTTTAAAATTAGAGTGCATTCTTATTCGGTACGGTTAAGAAAAAACCTTTCTATTTATATAACTTTAGGAAAATTAAATATTTTGTTTGGGTTCAAACTTAGACTTTACAAAGAATTTTTCAGGGTATAAATATAATATAAAATTGTTTATATTTCAATAAACATTTTTAAATATTAACTAGCAAGTACATAATAAAAATTGGACATTTCCTTAATATTGCTTTAAACTTCATCATTGCTTATCAAAGTGGATGGGAAATCCCCGCTCACCTGTGAGATGGAGTAAAACTTATGATGGTCTGCGAGAAGTAGTGCAGCGAGGACACTATGTTCGTGTATCCAAAGAGTCCCAGCAAAAGGATTTGATAGGGGCCAAAGTTGCCACACTTCTCCAGAACACGTTGAAGATCCATTTCGCCACATGAATCTGCTCCGATCGCAACCCAGCTACTGATGTCGACAAAGGCGTTCGAGCAGCTGGTATATACCCAATTCCGAAAGCTTGCTTAATTCGCTAATACACTGCAAACAAGGAATATCAGCTTCAACTTTATCTCGCACGGGGGCATTAGAAAGAAAGAAAGCGTTTGAACAATTTCCGACGTCTGGCTTCTGTTTGGCGTGAGTAGAGTTGTTTCCGAGTCCCAGGGATGTTTATTAATGTGACGCCCGCACAGCATTATCTTTATGGCGGCTTTACAATTTCAATAGACTTAAGGTGCTTTGCAAATAGAATCAAGTAAATCCGATTAAACAAAGTCGCGTCGGAATTACTCAGTTTAAGACACTCAATTTCAAAAATGAAATCACGCATTTGCTTGAGAGTATTCAATTGTATTTTGAACATTTTAATGCCTAAAAGGATCCTATAAAATATATAACTGCGTCCCATTATATGTTTCCTTTTAAGGAACTCAAAATATGGCTAAAATTTATCAGTTGCAAGTCACGATTAAGTAATGCTGACTTAGAATTTTAAAAAAATATAAGCTTTTTTATACTTGTTCATTTTTCGTTTGTACATCAAAAACGGTAAAGTATTTCTACAAATATACTCGTAATTGATACCGTACCTTATATTATATACACTTATCATTTGGTGGAGTCTACAGAGAAACAAAGAGTGCAGTGATAGTATCCAACTGACTTCCATTATCTACAAAAATATTCCACGTATTTACTCAAAAGTAGACGGCCGATTCCGTCGATTGCGAGTACATCTTCACGTTTTGGGTGGCCAGCGTGGCCGCAGATTGAGTGCGTTTCTCCAGAAAGCTGAAGGTGTACCACCGATCGTTCTTCCCGAAATTCTCGCCGTCCTCCAGCGAAGTGGGCAACGTGCGATGAAGGGTTTCCGGCAGCAGCAGGCAGAGGCACGCCCCCAGCAAGGACAGCACGCCCAGGATAATCTCGGGCAGCGGCGAGAAGATGCTCCGCGTGAACAGGATGTAGGCGCTGAAGAAGGTAAAGGCATAGCCGGCCACATGAACCGCCGCCACTCCTTGGCCGCGCACGCAGGTGGGGATCAGCTCGGTGGCATACTGCGCCCCCGAGTTGTAGGCCACGGTCACCCCGAAGCGGCCCACCACCGAGAGGCTTACCAGCAATGTGGTGGCTGCAGAATAGAAAACAGTTAAATAAGATATATAGTTGTTCAAAGAAGTTGATAGATTAAATAAAAGTTACAAATTAAAATAGGTCACCCTTTTGTCTAACTATCTTTTCTATTGATATACATGGGATAGCTATATAAAAAAATTACGAATTTATATTATTTAGCTTTTATAATACCAATCGTGTAATAATGTTTTTGCTATTCGTCTCCCTATTATCACAATAATATTTCTAAAACTTTATTATATTGACATCAGGGTGTGAGATTCTGTTTATAATTTTGAAAGTAAAAACTTATTTATGTTTATTAATTATCAGAATAATATGAGGAATAAACAAGCAGTTCTAATGAATATTTTCTAAAAATAACAGAGGGTATTATAATTTTGGTCAAAAGTGTGCAACGCAGTGAAGGAGACATCTCCGACCCTATAAAGTATATATATTCTTGATCAGGATCACCTCCTGAGTTGATATAGCCATGTCTGTTAGAAATTTGGGATTTTCTATGGGTTTTATTTTTGGCCAATCAATCCGACATACCAAATTTCATAAGGATCGGCCGACTTTATTCTATAGTTGCCATATAACTGAACGATTGGAAATGCCTTAACTTTGGTGATTTTAAAGTTAGGAAGTTGGGATTTTTATGAGTGTTAAGAATGCATCATATGAATAATTTTGGAGAATATAATTTACAGAATATTCTGCAAGGGTATTTCAAATTCGGCTCTGCCCGAATTTAGCTTTCCTTTCTTGTTTATTAACATTTTTAATGTAAGTAGTTGACTGATTATTTCATCTCTCGCGCGGAATAGGAATATTAATTGTCCTCATTTATTCATAATTTATGATAGCTATTAAAGCCATAATCGAAGGGCTACTTAATTCCATGTAGAATTCAATCACCAAGCTGCCATCGCTCACTACCAACTCACTTTTATCCGATGCAGAGGCGGCGAAGATGATGCCCCCGGTGACCGAGATGAAAATGCCACTCAGCAGCAGAGAGGCGGACGCCATCGCCTTGCGTCCGATGCGATCTTGGAGGGCGATGATCAGCAGGCAGGCCGGCAGAATCGCGGTGGCGCTCAGCGAGAACATCACAAATGGCGAAATGCCAAGGCCCTGAACGTTTCGTGATACCGCATCGTAGCAGAGGGTGATGACCATGCTGCGCGTGGGTGTTGGGAATTAGTGGAACTCATCTGAAGCCGTTGCCGGGCTACTCACGACTTGAAGAAGAGGATCAGGGTGTGGCGGCGCAGGCGGGGAGTCTTGAACAGGTGCAGCAGGTGGGGCGAGGTCTTCTGGTTCTGCTGGCTGAACTTGCACTCCTCCACGAACTCCTCGAAGGCGCTCTCCTCCACATGCCGTCCATTGATCCTGGCCACCCGCTTCAGGCAGACCACGGCCCGATCGTACTTTTGCTTGGCAATCAGCCACTGAATGCTTTCCGGCACGAATAGGTAGAAAAGTGGCACCACCAGCAGGGGCAGCGAGGTGGCCAGCAGGAATCCCCGCCAGCTCTGCATGAGCACGGCAATCCAGGGCGCCGCCATCGAGCCCAGACAGTAGAAGAATCCAATGCAGATGCTCAGACCAAGGGTGCGCACTGATGGACGCATGTACTCCATAACTGCCAGGAACAGTAATATATTATTTTATTATTATCAACCTATTTTCTCCCTCTATTGCTTACCCAAAATATACATCATCACAAAGTTGCTGTCCGTGGCAATGCCCGAAATCATGCGAAAAATACAGAAGAGCGTTACATTGCTGCTCCAAATGGTCAGCAGATTGCCGGTCATGGCAATCAGGTTGGCCACGATCAGGATGGGCAGACGACCGACCACGTCGGCCAGAAAGCCCAGGAGCATGGAGCCCACCACAGAACCCACAAAGAACATGGACTGACCGAGGGTGAGCTTCCAGGCATCGGCGCACACCCAGTCCATCTCGCTGGGAAAGCTCTGGTAGCCCATGTAGAGCTCGTAGTCATAGCTGTAGCAGGTATTCGGGCTAGTAATATTCCTGTTTGAGGGCAGGCAACTTGACTCAGCCGGCGGCTCAATGTTGGCGGGCAAACCATCTGCACACCTGATCGTATGAGTAATGCGTTAAGTATATGACGCGTTGGACAGCGCACCCATACGCACCAGTATTTGGGGACGAAACTTATGATGGTCTGGGAGTAATAGTGCAGGGCCGAGAGAACATTGATCAGACAGAAGAGCAGCAGCATCAGCAGCTGGAGACGGCCGAAGTCGCCGCATTTCTCCAGAATCTTGTCCACTTCCAGCATTTTGCTCAACCCTCCACTTGCATCCACTCACGATTCACGATTCTATCCGGGAATTGAGAAGAGCCGAGCCTCGAAAAGATTCCGACTCATCTTCGCCGCTGCATCTGCGAATTGTCTAATTGCCTGCGTTGAATTTCGCTTAATTTTTAAAACCAATTAGTGCGCTCGGTAATTCCTGCCAGACCGCGATCAAAAATAATTTGTGTAGATTATGTTTGACAGCTGCGGTCTTTCGTCATATGTTGTGCAATTTTATTACAGACCAGTCCTCGGCTTGCTGTAGGTCGTTAAATGAAATTATAGAATAATTTAAATGTTTTATTTGAACATTCCCGCAAAACATAATTGTGGAAAGGAGTCGAAGTGTTAGCACATTGTAATAAGCAATCAATCAAAATATATAAATTCTTTCTTTATATTTTTACGACCACACTAGCACTTGTTATGAATTGTAGAATGAAAGCAGAGTTCAGATTTCATTTTCATTGTATTTATCATCAAGATAAAGGCCTCCGAAGTCTATGTATGTATTTCACATCACATTTATTTTTTAACAATGTAAACAAGTGAGAGATTTAGATTTAGATTTAGACTAGCTTAGAGATCTGTCGCCAGGTGCTAAAGCTTGATGGTTCATAAAATTGCGATAAGAACAGAATTTTGGCTGCATTTAAATCAGTCTGTCGCAGTTGAACTCTGTGTAGTCACTGACCGCGAATGGCGCGTCTCGAGCGAAATTGCGATGTCAACCGCACGGAACGAAAGTAAAGTTTGATGTGGGGCTTTCGACTTGCCTGTTTTTGTATTTTCATGAAAACGAAATTGCCCAATACACGAAGGAAAGCTATTTGTGGGTGTACCAACCGCGGGATACTCATTACTATTGGTCTTCCAATTCATTTTTTAAATTATAAAACTATTGGTTCTGCATTGATGGCCCTGGCAGCTAGTGCCATAGGTCTTCATGATAGCACTATTCTTTCAGAAAGAGACTCTCACATATAAAGAAAAATATAAATAAAATACCTAGAAAATATTTATATATGTTTAGTTTATTAGCTGCGATTTTATTATAATTTGAATGTTCCACTACTCCTTGTACTACTGGAAAAAATAACAAACCAAATTAATGACAACGAACTGTTTAAATTTTTAGGCCTTTGTTTTGTTGACTGCTAATGATGAGGAGATAAATATAGATTTTTGAGGTCGCTGATTGCAAACATGCAATGCTGCTTATTTACAGTTATTATAGCTCGGATTTATTATCTGACGTCAAAACAGGCATAGGTATTTAAATTGCAATCAGATAGGCCTGAACTATTTGGTGTCTTTATAAATAGATTTATTTTAATTTAATTGAAACTATTTTCTGTTGATAAATTTAAAATTAATTCTTCGAAAAACTAAAAATTTAAGGCTCTATTTAAAAGCTAAGGTTGGCTGATTTCTGTTTGGTTCATATTTTGTTACGATTTTGTATTATAGTGATTTGAAATCACAAAACTTATACTTTGGATAACATATGTAATCAGTGCTCTTTGCTATAATTTTTTCGGATGTCAGTGTGTAACGTAAAATTATCGTTTGAAAATAACAAGCCGATGTTAATGTAAAATTTTAGTCATAAAATTTAATTTCCTTGAAAAGTTGTAGCTTTTTTGAAATGTGACTCATTTGTTTTAGCTTTTATCAATTGGATTAACCTATTAATCTGTTTGAAACGGTTTTTATTTTATCTCCCTTTTCCTTGCCAAGTTTAATTTATTTCAATTAATTTAAGTAGCTTTACTTTCGAATATATATTTAATCAGTCTTGGTTTATAAGATGACAATGTGCAATGTACAATGATCGATTACAAATAAATCCTTGTTCTGGTACCTCTATGTTTTACTTTAATCAGTCTTTAATTTCGATTTATACACTTTCAGCATTATTCTTTTCTTCTTTTTTGTGAAAACAAGGAAAGTAAAGATAGCTCTCGTCCAGGGCAAACTTTTCTCCATCTGCTAAGGTTTCTGGAAGCTTCCTAATGAAAGGACATTAATCAATGAGAAGTAAAGAAGGCTTAGCGGGGTAAACTTTTAAAGTGAATAAACCTTAGTAAATCGAACTTACTTGTTCAAGGTCTCCGGCAGAGTAAGGCACAATCCGGCACCGAAGAACATCAGGCAGCTGATAAAGATCGAGGGGAGCGGTTTGTAGTACTGGGCCAGGTAAATCACATAGAAAGCCAGTGAGCTGGAGGCCAGTCCCACCACATGGATGTTGGACACCGCTTGACCCCGCACACTGGTGGGAATGATCTCAGCCGCATATTGGATCTCCGCATCGTACGAAACGGTGGCTCCAAAGCGGCCCAGACCCACCATGATGGCCAAAATCAGAGCGTTCTCCGAGGGATCCAGGTTGGCTATCAGGAAACCCGTCGTCGTGGTGATGAACCCACCCACAAAGAGGGCGGTGCAGGCCATGCCCTTGCGCCCGATCCTGTTCTGCAGCAGCAGGATGGCCACGCCCGCGGGGAAGTAGGCGATCGAGGTTAAGGAGAAGAGCTTAAAGGGCGAAGTGCCCAGGCCCTCCATGTTGCGGTTTATCACATCGCACGAGAGGGTTATGATGACTCTACGAAGGCAAGGGGAACCAATTAAGTTATCTACGTTGGTATTAAATAACTTACGACTTCAGGAGCAATGTCAATGTAAAACGACGCAGTCGAGGGGTTGTAAACATGGCGAGGAAAGTGTCCCCCTGATTATTAGGCTTTTGTTGAGCCCTTTCGCGATAGTGCTTGATGAACTCATCGAAAACAGACTCCTCCACCTGGCGCCCATTGAACTTGGCCACTCGTTTCAAGCAGGCCACCGCCTCATCGTACTTCTTCTTGGTCAGCAGCCACTGGGCACTTTCGCAGATCAGCAGCGGATAGATGAGCACTCCCAGTGCTGGCAGAGATGCCAGCCAGAGGTAGCGGCGCCAGTTGCCAATCCACATGGCTATCCAGGGCGAGGTCATCAGTCCGAAGCAGTAGAATACGGCCAGGATGATGTTAAGACCGAAGGTTCGACTTTTTGGGCTCAGGTACTCGAAGACTGTGAAGTGTGCTTTAATTTTTGCATCTCATGGAGTGTCCAAGCTTACCCAATATGTACATTAGGTAGTACATGGTGTCCGTGGATAATCCCGACACGAATCTGGAGAAGGCGAACCAGGGCAGGGTGTGCACAAAGGAGGTCATGAAGTCACCCGTGGCACCGCACAAGGTGGCCATCAGCAGGGAAGGCAGACGACCTATCTGATCCGAGAGATAGCCAAAGGTTATGGTGCCCAGCACGGATCCCACGAAGAAGAAGGACTGGCCCACTGCCGGATGATGGGATTGGTCACAGACCCATTTGAGCTGCAGTCAGATAAGGTAAAATGTTTATACTATTTGGAAAATAAGTGTTTTAAATCTAATTGATTAATCGTACCTCAGTGGTAATGCTTTCGTAGCCACTTTCCCTCTGGAAAATCCAATCCCTGCATTTGCGACCCTCTGCAACTACGCCCATGCCGTCGACCACGCCCAAAAGGGGAGTGCAGGACGGAGCGGAAACGTTTGAGTATATTGAGCGTTGCTCCTTCACACTGAGACCTTCGAGGTCAACATGGTAGCACCTGGAATTGGGAAGATCAGGTCTTATTCAGCGAGAACTCTTCACCTAGTTTTTTCCACCCACCAATGTTCGGGTGTAAATGTGATGAGGGTCTGGGAGAAGTAGTGAAGAGATCCTAGAATATTTGTGTAGCCGTACAGCAAAAGGATCACTACTTGGAATCTTCCATAGTTGCCACACTTATCCAAAACCTGAGCAAAATCCATTTGTCTTAGACTAGAACCGTTTTCAGCGACTGACAAACTCCAACTCTCTTTCTAAACTGACGAGCAGCTTTACGAAACTACTGTAGAAATAGCAATCAATTTCTCTTGAGCTTTGTTAAACAAAATGATTCGCAAAGTGAAAACAGCTGGATGGGACTTATGGGCTATAAAGATTTTTACCAAATGTTTTGGCAGCTGTCAGCCCTGTAACTTGGCAATTACCACCAAGAGATGTCACATTTATCGCAAAGGTTTTTGCTTCAATTTAAGATCAAATAAAAACACCTCTTAACGAGTTAAAAAAAAGGAGTGTCAAATTAATAATTTACAGAATATTCTGCAAGGGTATATCAGGGTATTAGCTTTCCTTTCTTGTTTTTGGTAAAATATAAATATAAATCGAAATGTAGTCGTTTTGTAATAACTGCAAGGGTATATAAACTTCGGCTTGCTCAAGTTTGCTTCCTTTCTTGTTGCTTTATAAATTAAGTCAATGCTTATCCAAAATAAGACGCACGGTTAAAATAATGACTGTTGTGTGCAGCTGAAGACCTAAAATATCAAGCCCCCGTTAATTTCGAAAAGTTTATTTTTTTCCAATTTTATCCTTTTTTATTATGTTTGATAAAAAACTACGTTTTCCAGCTGTAAGTCCCACCCTATTGAACATTTTAAAACGAATTCAATGAGGTATTCCATTAAACATTTAGCCATAAGTGTCCTTGGTTTTGATATAAAAACTAAAAACTTGAGTAGATTTTTTTGAGATTTTAGTTATCAAAAACAAATGTATAAGGGCTTATTTGTTCTTACTAAGCCAAAACCGGCCGTTTAGCCAAAATAATGCCTGTCCTTTGCAGATGAGGACCTACACTATTGATTCCAGGTTCATTTGGAAAAATTTATTTTTTTGACCGATTTGCAAATATTTTCAAAAGGGTTTCATCATGATATAAAATATTTAATTTCACACTTGCACCTCTCTTTTTCCTGAACCAATTTATTTCCGTTATGATCGGACCTTTGTAAAAGATTTTCAGTGTTTATATAGGAGTCGCTTACTCTTCCGGTCGTCCACATAGATAATTACCATAGCCAGCATTTTTTCTGTTCTTTTGTAGTTCATCAATTAGTGGTTTGATTTCCTTTTCAACCTTATTTGCAACTATGCTGCATTAGCCTGACATTCTTGTTGATCAATTGCTTTGATCTTCTGGCTAAAAATAGTTGAAACAGATGACATCGACTGACTGTAGTTGGCACGACTTTGATACTTTGTTATACTTAGTTGTCGCATATACAGACTCGATGGTAACGACAGGGGTAAAACAATGCATGCAGCTGTCAATAGTTTTCCAGATGCCAGATACAAATTTGCAGCCATAAATTAAGCACACAAAACGGTAAACAGAGGAATTGTCGCAGACACTTGGCTGTGGGAAACTGAAAAGGGTATTTATTCAAACAGTCGAATTGGGTTGAAAAACTTATTATAAACATTGTGGGGCAAGGACTAAAAATATTATAAATCAACCAATTCCTTCTTTAAACTGTTAAATTCAGAACACTAAGTTCATTGAAGTTACAATTTATAATTTTATAAATAAATTCATCGTATACCATAGTTTAAAGTAAGTAAGAAAATAATTTTAACCCCTAAAGAATTAAAAAGAAATTGTTATATATCATGTTTTAATCCATGAAATTACTTAAGCATCTCTTAAAAAATATTGTTACAAAGGATCAATCAAATGGTATTGTCCAAATAATGTGCTCAAAGTGAGTCGTCTTGCCGATCGTTTTAGGGTATTATTAATGACATTATTTGCTAAGACTGTGAGTGTTTTTTCGGCCTGCTCTCTGGGCCAGACTAATGTGCCGACAGCGGCGCGTTGACCTTTCGCTTTATTAGGCGGCTGTGGCGGCTGTCTGCCCCTGTTCTCGGCCCCTTTTCCTCTTCCCTCCCTCCCCTGAGCCCCTGGCTTGGGCCCGCTGCAGGCACTCTTAATTCAATTGTGGACCAAATGACCTTTTGCGCATGCGCAGCAACTGCCATTTCATATGGAGTCACTTGGCGCTGCTTGTTCCTCTCAGCTAATTAAGCGGCGACCAAATGCAGCAGGTCCTAGGCCAGCCGATGTTAATTTAACATTTCAATTGTGTGCGGCCAAATAAATTTTCACATAATTGCCCAAAAGTCGGTGTCCAAGTGGAGTTCGAATAGCGAATCGAAAACGAATCGTAAACGCTGCAAAAGTGAAAGGGCAAAGCGCGGGCTGGCTCTGGGGTCCCTTTAAATGGTTTAGCGGAAGAATAACCTTTCTAAGTCGACACGATAACTGCGCCAAAGTTGAAGCCAGGCACACGATTTGCCGCCAGGTGGGCAAGAGGCCATCCCCGACCCCGTGTATCCACTCCACAGTACAGATACCTGCAACTCCGTCTGGCTGTTGTTGTCTGCGCCATGTGCTTGATCGCTGGCCTAAACCGAAGACTTTGGCCGGGTCTCTCTTGATCTGAAATTAGTTTATTGCTTCGGCTGCGCCATGTGAAGCAGGCGACATTTGCCGCCGGTTGGCAGTATAAATGGCCAGAACTTCCAGACAAAGCTTGCAGTTTTGGTTACTTCTTCTAGCGCGATCGTCGTCGAATTCATCGCTACTCCGGCCACTTTTTAAGTGGTGTGTGCTGAGCCTGTGACAACTGTGAGCGAGTGGAAAGGATACCCGTGCAAGGACATCGTTATGCTGAAGGTGTGAAAAACCAACTGATCGCAGTGGCAACCGATTGTGTTTTTACAACTTTGTGCTTGAAACCTAACCCATCTACCAATAGAGTCGTTATTTTTATTAAAGAGTACAAACATTTTTCTTGTCCTTCTGGACAAAAAATACTTCAGTCTTCTTTTTCTTGCTTAAGAAACTTATAACGCACTAAACCTGACTTTTTTAGCCCTGTTTTTTATCAGCATCGACAGTCGATTTGCCAGTTTTAAAGTTTTCTGAATGAATTTGTCACAATTGTTGTCTATTTTTTGAGTAACTCTATTTTAATTTTATCAAAACTAAACGAATTAATCAATATATCAATAAAAACACTTATTTTATAATTGAAAGGTTTTTTGATTACATAAAACCTTGAGCCAGCGTAATGGTAATAAATGAAGTGAAATATTTCGAACTTATAAGTTTTGTTTAAATCTTTAACTTTATGGCAAGGTATTACTTATTTAACCCTAATTCTTTCTTTCTAAACTTTCATAGATTTCCCTGCTGAGCGCCGTGCTCGGCATAGCCTATGCGGGTGTGATCGGACCCGGACCGTACTATGGCGGTCCTGCTGGTCCCGGACCTCTGCACCATTATGGAGGATATGCGCCACCCCATGGCCCCCTTCCCGGCCCTTATGTGGCGCCCAAGCCGGCTGCTCCCGAACCCTACGATCCCGAGCCGAAGTACTCCTTCGGATATGACATTCAGGACGGGTATACTGGGGATCTTAAGTCCCAGCACGAGACTCGTCACGGCGACGTGGTGAAGGGCAGCTACTCAGTGGTGGACCCGGATGGAACCAAGCGCACCGTAGACTACACAGCTGATCCCCATCACGGATTTAATGCAGTGGTTCGCAAGGAGCCGCTGGCCTACAAGGCACCCGCCCACCTGGCACCTGTCATTGCACCCGCACCAGCTCCGGCTCCGGCTCACCTTCATTACGCGGGTCCGGCTCCAGCTCCACCACTTCCGCCTGTGCCCAAGGCTCCCCTGCTCTCGTATCCGTTGGCCTTGGGTCCCCTCCACCGGACCCCTGGTCCCGCTCCTGCTCCTGCTCCAGCCCCAGTGCCTGTTCCGGTGGCTGCACCTGTCCTGCCTTCCGCCCACTTCCATGCCGCCTATCCCGCTCTGGCCCACAGTCCTTATGCCCACTATCCGGCTCCTGTTCCGGGTCCCGCTCCAGTCGACCCCCATGCGTACTATCACCACTGAGGAACCAATGTTCGCCACTATCTGATCTGATTTGATTTGACTTCATCTATCGCACGCAGCTTACACTGACCCAAAACTGAATCTCCGGCTAAATCTGTGCCAAACGCTGTACTCTCAATCTCTTTTGCTGTGTTCTTCGAGGGATTTGATTCCGATCCAACATGTAGATTGATTTTAAGATACACCTAGCCTATGTACATGTCTTAGAAATATGTTGTTGAATGGTTAGTCTAGAGAAATAAACCGATAAAGAAAAAATGGATTGCTTTATTTGGGGCCTCGCCAGGATACTATAACTGGGCTAGAACAACATTAATTTTCGGTCTCAAGTAAGTTTTAGTTGTCATTAAATTTCTAAAATAATGTTTCAAAATTGAAAATCTCTGGTAAGATAAGATTATAAGCTAATAAATCAAGCTCTGTTTAATCATAAATCATTATTGAAAATAATTAACTTCAGCTAACCTTAAATCTAATGAATACATCACATATTTCCCGCACCATAGCCCAAAGAGTGATTTAATATTTTAATAAGGGTGAGACATGTTACCTTGAACCTTTTCTTGAAACAAAAAATATCCCTAATATATACCCCACATCAATCATTTGAATTATATTAACTCATATCTTAACGCAATTGATGTGTGTTTTATTTATTGTATCAACTTTTCGCAATGGTTCATATATGTATATGTTATATGATATCGTATGTGGCATATCTCATATGTATAATTATTCTGATTATGTATAAATATATGTGTGTTGTATATAAACGTTTCGAGTATGTCACCGTATGTTATAAATAAGTTTAGTTCAATGCATAATGGTTCATTTATTTATGTATTATGTATAATAAGTTCTATGAGCTACATTTCGTAGAACAGATTGAAATGTGATCGATATCGTTATAGACTTCATCCGACTTCAAAAGTTCATCATTATGCTGAGTGCATTTTGGTCTCGCTGCACTCGATTAGGTATACAATTTAAATACGATTATAGTCCTTAGTTTTGTAATAAACGGTATCAAAAGATAGGTACAATTGAGTCATGCCTGCTACCACTAAATTAATTTTGAAGCTTCTATTCCAACACAAACGATTAATTGCCAAGCTCAGGGCTTGTGTCTATCTTTCTCCGTCTGATTGATTTGATGTGTACGATTATTTAAACTAAGGGTTTTTAGGCTGACATACCATACAAAGTGCTGTGCTCTACAGGCCTTTACAGTTGGACACAATTTAGCTAAGTAAATCTGCTTAGATTAAGAGACTAATTATACGGTGTACATACGGTAAATAAGCGGCTAATATAGCTCACAATATTCCTTGACAAGTGTATAGTATTTAATTCATAATTTCTTCGTTGATTGTTTGGCTTCGTCTCGGATTACTCCGTCCGACTTCCTCATCGGGTTTTCGCGCAAGGTATAAATCTATTGTAGACAACCACTGGATGATGAAGACTATTTCGGGATATGCTTGAATTGCGTTGCTTGATATCAGTTATCAGTATAAAATTGGGGACAAACAAATGGCAGCTTTGGCTATTCTCAACTCAGATCTCAGTTACTAGACTTGATGCTTTTAAATTCGTCCTCGACTATATGCTCTTAGAAATGGTTTAGACCTATATAATTTTAAATATATGCGATTGAATGGGATATGTTTCACTAATGATTAGATAGATGATTTAAGCAAATTTGTTTCGGTTTTGGTTCATTTGTTTATAACTTGAAACGGAGGGTTTTCTTTTATTAAACTTGATTGGTTATTGGTAGGACATCTTCTACACACTTCGATTCGGTTTGATTTGGTACGGTATGGTTAGAAAAATACTTATAGTTGGGACATTTCACTACACAGAAGTGATTGAAAATTTAGCTAACTGCATTTTGTTGATAGCTATATCTCTTTATATAATTCATTCTATATTTATAGTCATGTTGTGTAATTTACTAAGTGCCTAGAAATTCTAGTGATAAGTGAAGTTTAAATAAACAAATCGATAGATGATAATCTTAAATTATAACAGTTCCTAAAAATGTTTCCATATTGTCCATATTTTCGTTTTTAATTTGTTTTAAATTTCGTTAACTAAAGGTGGTGTTTTCAAGGGAGATAAACTGAAATGTTCAATATCAATATATGGCTAATGTCTGATATATCTATAAATATTTATTGATCTGTGGCATATCTAGGTTAAAACGTTAATCTCTCTTTCGATTATATCTTTTGCTTATATTGATGTGAGTATTGTACGATATTGGGTATCAAGTTGTAGACATCTAAATTTATCGATTCGATTAGTTCTTTGTGGTATTTAGGTATTTTAAAGCAGTTTTCAATATCAATTGATTCGTAAGTATATCTGGGTTATCCAAGTGTAATTTGACTAGTTTCATTGGAATGGTGTGGATTATCTAATTTATTTGACGGTTCATGTGGTAGATAATATTTGATTTGATTAAGTAGATAGAAAAAGGTGGTCCATTTAGTGATCGCATTCGTCAGCATATGATTAGGTTCATGAAGATCTTCTTGTATATAAACCAAAAATAAAATAAAAGTAAAAAGTCTGTGATTTTCAATAATAGTTCTTTAATTAAAAACATTGCAGCACACTTTCAGTTAGCACAGATATTAATATTAAATAATATTAAGAAATAATACACAAGTACTCTGAATAAATAAGGATACAAATTAAAACTGATCGCATGTATCGACATTTACATTTAAAACGCTTATTGTATAAGCTTCGAAATGATATGAGAGCTAATCCACAAAAGTAATTCGCATTAGCTTGCATTTTGTTGTATCTTTGAAATTGTTTTTCTTCATCAGTTTTTGAAAAAGGTGCGAGTTATAACAATTTTGCATGTACTAGCAAATTATGATTATGTTTCAATTATGATATAGGTGTGTTCATTATTATATCGTAGGTATGTATGTGTGGGAGTTACAGCTTATCTAATCTTTAAATCATTTCTGCATTATTTCCAGCTTTCAATATGTTTCACTTACTTATGCTTCGATATTTGTATATAATATATATAGATTTGTATCTTTCATAACTACTAAAAAAGTGTTCTCAGCTTAGTCCAAGCTCTTCATGAAATTCTCCTTCATCCGATTCCTCGTATGCAATAATGTATAAATATATGTACCACAATAGTTATATGGATCTATCTTTAGGTGTTTAGGTATGATTATTTAGAATATTTTGCAGGCCAGCCAATTGGATTTCCTCACTTGCAGCTAATTCTTTTGGATTCTTATACTGTTTTTTGTTTTCATAGTTTAATGCCTTGCAGTTAAGTATCGAAGGTGTTATTTTTGCAGTTCCACGCAGGTTTTCTCCGTAGTAGCTGTGGTCGTCGTCGTCGTCGTTGTGTTCGTAGTGTTGCTGCTCGACGTCTCGTCCAAATCATCGTTGATGCTCTCCAACTCCTGCTCGGTAATGACCGTCACCAGGCCACTAGAGTTCTCTGTGGAAAACAGAAATACACTCCGTTTAGAAATCTGGCATAAAATTGTTTCCATTTGCTGAAATTGGAAGTGACAACACAAATCGTTGCATTACCGCTTTTAATCCAACACATTCTAGGCAAGATCTGCTGGGCGGGAGCAGTGAAACGAGAGCAGAGCAAGAGAAATTATCGATATTAGTATTCAGAGGATATAGATGTAGAACCAAGGAAGAACAACATCAACACAAACAACACAAGAGAGTTGGAATTGAAAATAAAATCCAGCGCCCGAAAGTAGGCACCGCAAACGAAACACAAATTCCACAGAGGCGGTCACAAAATTGAGCGTCTAGGAAAGGCGACAGTGACTGCCAGAATATCCGCACCATTCAAGTGCTGCTGATGCTGCTGCTGCATGAGACTGGAGTGCGGGGGCGGTGGCGGGCGTCCGTCATCCCCCAGATATCCCACCGATGTCTGCATGCCGCCGGACATGTCCAGGCCGCCATTGCCCGTCATCAGGCCCCTCTGCTGCTGCGGATGTTGCTGCTGCTGCTGCTGCTGGTGTTGCTGCTGCTGCTGTTGATGCAACGCGTTGAGGGCTCCACTGAGCTGGTGCTGATGATGCTTGGCCGCCAGACTGGCCAGCTGGGCGTGCTGCTGCTGCATCTCGCTGCTCATCCCCGGCAGCATAATTCCCTCTGCGAGTGTGTGTTTGCGGTTTCAGTTTCGACGAAGGGTGTTAATTGATGGGGTGTGCATTAAAAGTGGGTGAGCGGGCGGGGTTGGAGCAGAACAGACAAGAACAGCACACAATTAGAGGTTAGTTGGCAGGAGGGCCCCTTTGTGAATGCTAGTGGGCGAGGTTGTCACTCTCTGTTAGCCTGAATTCCAAATATTGGGGAAAGTTCCTATCCAGTATCTGTTAGTTTGCACTTTGCTTATACGGTAAAACACCTGTCATTAGCTATAAGTGTAACTAAAGCCATTGAGCTAAATTATTCCCATTAAACTATTCATGAATTTGAATTTTATTATTGATATAGTCCCTTGTAAACATTTTGGGTTTTCTCATATATATATAACCTACGAAATTAAAATTTCTATACAACATTTTTCTAATAAAAAATTTCTTCTATAATTTTTGTAACCTCTTAAACGTCAAAAAAAAAACAAAAATTTTAATATTTAATTTATTATCAATATTAGCAAGGGGAATCATACTTGTGTGCCTTGTGTGAATTTTATTCTTCTAAAAAACCATTTGTTTTTAATTGAAAAACAAGAAAGGAAAGCTAACTTCGGGCGGAGCCGAAGTTGAAATACCCTTGCAGAATATTCTGCAAATTATATTCTCCAAAATTATTCATATGATGCGTTCTTAATACTCATAAAAAATCCCAACTTCCTAACTTTAAAAACACCAAAGTTATGGCATTTCCAATCGTTCAGTTATGTATATGGCAGCTATAGAATATAGTCAGCCGATCCTTATGAAATTTGATATGTCGGATTAATTGGCCAAATATAA